CACCCACTGACATTGGCAATGAAAAAAATTCATGCCCTTTCACGCTTGCTACAAAAAAATTTGACCATACCCGCCCACTCATGAGAGACAATATTTTGATCACGCCCTAAAATTCACGGTGTTTTTAAATTTTTCAAAACTTACTATTTTTTGAATTTATTCTGTCATAGTTTTCATTTCTCTAATTCCATATTAACACAAATGAATTACAATATTTAAATCAAAATTTTCATTTAGAAAGAGAAGAATTGTACATGTTTTTATTTCAATTATGTTTGACTTTCCTCTAATAAAAGGCTATAGATAATAACCTTTCACTAGAAGCTGAACTTGTTGGGGCAGGCAAAATTTTACTAGCTAATTTTCTCATATAAGTAAATATTTTTTCCCACTTCCAAAACTTCAATATATTGTCATTATAATTAGTTTTATGAGCAATGAATCTATTAAGTTCATCCTCACTACTTTCATCGATATATGTTGATGCAACATCAGAATCATCTAGAAATTCTCTAAATGTTTTATTTAGAATATACCGATTTTATGTGTGAAGGATGAATAGAAAAGTTATATGGTAGTTGACATTGATTTATGCATATCATTTAATTTTATATTGTCCTATTTTTAGGGTTTTGATTATTATTAGGTTGATAAAATTTTACTAATTTTGATTTCCATAGATAAACTTCATTTATTGTGGGTGAGAATATGTGCTCAGATTATTCGAGCATTCTTTGAATACTGATAAAAATTTTAGTAAAGATAAATGAAAATAAAATATATTTTAATTAAATTTATATAAAACAAATTTCCATTGCTGAAGAGAGTTGAGAGATTATTTTATAAGATGGATAAAATGTGGTTTGTTTTTAAAAATTATTCTTTTTTAAAAAGAACTAAATTAAATTAGAAAATATATATTATATTATAATTATAATATTGCAAATTTATATTTATCAATTATTAAAATTTCTGTGACCCAATCATGCCAGGCAAAAATTTTGGAGAGGCCCATCATTCCCAATCAAGCCTAATAATTTAAAATTTATTAAAACTCACACTGTGACCCATCGTGTCATGCCTAATTTCACGGCTTGCGCCACCTCTAATTGGACCATTTAACAACACTTAAATTTTTTAAATATACCCGGGCCGGGCCTAAAAATTTTTTTTTAAAATATATACGGGCCTAAGATTGTTAAACCCGGGCCGGGCCTTAATATTTTTTATAAAAATTTTTACATTATGAGTTAATGGTTATAAGATTATATTATATTATAGTTATGATTAATATAATATTGGGTGATGGTTAACACTACCTAACACCCACAGATCGATTTAATTATTAATTTCCTGCAAATTTATTCAAAGTATTAATATATTCTTTTTATAATTCATATCTAAATTTTTACAACATATTTTACCAAAACAATCAAATAAAGGAATATCTTAAATAAGCCCCAATATTCAAGTATTATTAATATATTTTTTTATAATTAATATCTAAATTTTTAGAATATATTTTACCAAAACAATCAAATAAAGGAATATCACTTCTTAAAGTTTGTAATACCTTTCAAAGCGAAAAGGAGAAATAAAATTGATTTTACTTAATATAAAGCATTTTTTAATTGAAAAATTTGTTTTACACAAGTATAATTTTATTTCTCTTTTTCTCTGTCCCAAATTCAAGCAATTACGTATGTAGTCAGGGACAGATCGCAAAATGACGGAAAACTATATAAAAGATTATATTAAATTACAAGAGGCTCAGGAAGTAAATGAAATACCATCGACCAGTCAAATTACGACTGTTGTTAAACAAACTGAATCGTTTTATGACAAATGGGGCGATGGTAATTCTGGTAATATGTCAATACCCCATGATGAATATTATAATTACATAAATAAAAGATAAAACATTTAAGGTGGATAATTTGTTAGAGTGGTGGGCGGCTCATCAAAGCGAATTTCCAATTTTAGCAAAATTGGCAATTCCTGCTTTAAGTGCAAACTGTGAGCGGAATTTTTCCACTACTGGGAGAATTCTTGAAGAAAGAAGTAATCTTCACCTGAAAAGGTAGATATGCTTCTCTTTCTTCATGATAATTTGTGAATTTTTAATATCTTTCTTGAGTATAGGGTTTCGTCAATCATGCTGGTTTTTTACTTTGTTTATTATATTTACCTTGAGTCATGAAAGTTTTTAATCCAACATTTTTCATAATTTTTTTTTACAATATTATATAATACAATTATCTTCTTTTGTTAAAAATTTATATTATAAAATAAATTATATTAATATTGTGCAATTATATTATATTTTCAAAATACTATTTATTATACATGCATTTTTTTAAATAGCGATTTATTTTTATTTTATAAATTAAATAGTAAATTAAATACAAAATATATTCTCAAAATATTTTCCATTTTTATAAATTAAATATTAGTTTTATTTTTTTAAATGTAATATAAAATATAGTATTGACAAATATTATTACCATTTTTATGAATATTAGTTTTATTTTTATAAATGCAATATAAAATATAGTATATACTCAAAATATCCATTTTTATAAATAACAGTTTTATAATTTTTATAAATTCAATATAATATTCTCAAAATATTAGCTTTTTACATGTATTTTTAAATAATAAGCGATAATACTCGCTGAAAAATATGGTAAAATACCTCATAGGTGAATTTTTGTATATATACCAGGTCGAATATAATTTTAAAAAATTCCGAGCTGGGCCTGAAATTTTTTTTTCAAATGTATACAATACACTAGAGATAAATTTGAAATATGAAGTTAAATTAATAATATAATTCAAAATTTTTAGAAAGAAAGTGAAAATGCATAAAAATCTGATATAGCCAAAAGCCTACATTAGTTGGACCTAAAGATCTTCAATAAAATTGATGGGGGGAAATCCCTCTAATAATGTCCCTCCCCCCATGATCAAAATCATGGCTATGATTATGTGTATAACAATTCTTTTTTAAAAAAATATTTCATAAAGTTTCTTTTGGCAATATATTTCCATGCCGTGGAATCAAAATATTGAAAATTTATGATTATGACATAAATATATAAAAAAAGTAGAGACAAATGTAGATTGTGAGAGTTGGAGTGAAGGTTACAATGACTTCTACAATGAATCTTGCTTTTAAAATTTAAAATCTTTATATCTTGTGAAAACTATTAAGACAGAATCACGATTTTTCAATATTTAGAAAAAAGATAATGGCCACTAGAGATCTATAAAAATGTGCCCAAATCTAGTCCAGTTCAAACTGCCAAACTGGGCTAGACCTATTTAAAAAATTTTTTAGGTCTAATATGGTTGGATCTTATATATTTTTTTAAAAAATTGAGTTGGATCAGGTTTTAATTCTGAAATAAAATATATATAAAGATTTTTTTATGAAACAAGGCCTCTGTATTTTTTTTATTTGTTTGTAGAATGTGACTCAATTACGTTGACAATGTATAACTACTACATTGAAACAAATTTAATTTCTATGTTTAAATAAATTCTGACTAGACAGGGTGCAAAAATAATTTTTTTTGAATCATGCTGTTTGGGACATATAAAAAAATTGTCTGCTCCTTTTAGTCAGCATTGCTGATCCCGTCAAAAATGACGGGAAATGAGAATTTTCTCCTTACTCTTATGATAGTTGTTACCTGTTATTTGAAAATAATATCCAATTTTTATTCTTTATAACCACTTCAGGCCAGGTTCAATCCATTAAAACTACGTTTAAATGCTATGTTTTGAGTCAAAATATATTTAAAGCTTTTACTTGATACCCACATTATTTGTTAAAATATTACTGATTATCTATGCCTAATATTTAATATTGAAAACAAGCAACGTCCAAGGCCATAATAATTTTGAAAAAATTTCCCCAACCCCAACCAAAGATCATAATAATTTTGGTAGTTGAGAACTGGAATAAAATATTTAAAAAAGTCATAATGAATTTAAAATTACAATCAATATCAGATTTTATGGGTTTTATTTTATTTGGTTTAGGCCAATGCCTGATCCATAGTTAATAATAAAAAAATTCACAAGCGTCCAAGCTGATAATAATTTGAAAAATTTTCCCCAAGCAAAGCCCATTATAATTAATAAAAATATTTTCCAAGCCCAGCCCGACCCATTATAATTTTAAAAAATTTTTCTTAAATCTGGTTAACTGATAATAATTTTGAAATTTTTTTCAGCTTCCAATAAAATAATATAAAAATATTTTACAAGCCTAGTCCGACCCTTTATAATTTAAAATATTTTTTCTCAAACCTGGCCAACATATTATAATTTTGAAATTGTTTTCCCAAACCTGGAGATTCCAATAAAAAGAATAAATATTGATATATTTAAATTACTTTATCATAATATAGTTTCATATATAAGAATTGTATTACAAAATTTAATATAGAAAGCGGCTGACTGGAAAGAACGTTTGCCTATCGAACGTTAAGTCAGTGGTTCGAATCTCGTTGATGTATACAAAAAAGATTTAAGTTTTCTTTTTTTTAAAAAAAATAATTTAACATTAAAGGTAGGAAAGTTGATAGAAAAAATTAACATTAAGATTATACGAAAACGTTTATTTCTTGATTATAGCGATTATATATATATTAGATGACTATTTCAATTTAATTTTATTTTTAAAAAAGAGTTTGAAAAAAACTTAAAAGATTGCTTGAAGATATTTTGAACAAAAAACTATCACAAAATTGATTTTTTTTTAAAAAAAAATATTCATTTAAAAATTATCTTTGAATATTTTTTCTTTTGAAAAGCATTCCAAGCTCTGTTTTATAAAAATAATAATAATTTCATTTTATTCAAATAGCACAACACATGCAAACTAAATATTGATAATGCTTACAAAAATACAGAAATAAATTGAATTTTTTAAAATTTATTTAACACTAGTAGATAAAAAGAGCATAATATCAAATATAATTTTTTCTTAGGTGGATTATGCCAATGAAAAAATAGGGTTCTCACCAGAACAATTAACTGCTATGTTATTCACTAAGCTGAAGCAAATAGCTGAAACCCATTTAAACACCAAAGTGTCGGATTGTGTTATTTCAGTAAATTTTTAATTTTTTATTAACTCATGAGATATAATGTTTGTAAAAAAAAGTAAAAAGGCTGGAGCTATATGGCAGACGTGGCAAAAAGGCAGTGGAATCTTTATCCACTAAATAAACCCTTATATTTTTACTCATTATAGTTATGATGATCGTTCTTGAGATGAAACGATTTTGGATGGCGTTATTCCTAGTCATACTCAAAACGACTATCGGAATACGAGTAGCTTTAATCATGATAGCATTACGGGGGAGGGGATATGATGCATGATCATCATTGAAATATAAGAGTGAAAGGAGGAGAGAAGGAAAAAGGGGTAAAAGGAGGTGAGCCATGGTTTTTTTAAGATAATTATGATGGTTTAGATTTCCTATTTTTGCTAATAATATATAGGAGATAAGTAAAAAAAATTGAGGGAGGGATGAGGTAAATTTTTTAGGGATGCAATATTGTCATTTAATAAAAAGTCTTAAGATTTGATATGATGAACAAATCCTGAATAGTGTTGTTAGACTCGTTGACCCGATTTTTAAAAATGGCTAACTCGTTTTATCCAGAAAAATATTACGTAAGCATAAAGATTTTTCCCATAGATGGCACAAAATTTGGACATCTATTGACGAAATCTCGAGGCTAACGCAATATTATTCAAGCTAAAATATTAAGTTGGCCGTTTTTAAAAATCGACTCAAATTGAGCCGTTTAACAACTAGTCCTGAATATGTTTATCCTATATGTGTCAGGTATCGATTTCACCTGTTTCTTTATTGTTGAGACTAATTTTTTTTATAATATTCATAATTTATTTTAATTATATATATTAATTATAACAATAAATATGGAAATTTTTGTGGGTTAAATTTGATTTGCTATCTTACCCTTAGTTGTTGGTAAATAGTATAAAACAAGACTCTTGCTTAATTCTAAATAGCGCTCACAATATAAAAAATAAAGTCCGACTTTTTAAATATTATAGTCTTACAACGAGGCTTCCAATGATACAAGTAGTTTAATTTTAAACATCTGCCATATATGCTCGGTCCTCTATACAGATATTTCTTATATGTTAAATATGTATCTAACTTGCTTATAGTATTTCTATGAAGAAAGAAATAAGAAATTGAGAATACAAAAAGTTAAAAAAACGAGGAAATAATCTGATAAGGGGAGAAAGCATATATTATTAACATTCAAGTGCTATAAGACTAAATAGAAAACATATTTATTTATTATTCAAAATAACGATACATTTTTTCTCACAATATTACTTATATAGTGCCCATCCTATTTCACTGATACTCAAAGACATAGTTTACTTGCAGCGAGTCAAGTGGCTGACCTTAATTGTTTACGTATCACTGATGACTTGGTATCTACCGCACTAGCCTTCTGTGTTTATAAAGGTAATGAATTACCTCTCTTCACTCCTCAAAAAACATCGAAATATGAAAAGGAAGTGATTAAAAATAAAACTGATAATGAAGCGAATTCTGGTCAAAAGATGGAAAGCAATGATACCACTGAGGATGCTAACAATATAGCTGGAGTAACAGATGGGAATTCAGAGGAGAGTAAGGAGATAGAAGGAGCGGAAAAGAAGGAAAATAATAGCAGTGGTACGCTTATATTTTTTGTTTTCAGTCTGTAAGGCCTCATTACACAACTTTTTAAAATATCTTTTTTGCCTTAATATTTTTTTGGGTTATCCCATCTCAAATCGATCAAAAACATAATTTTTGTATGACCTCTTAGAATTTTAAGTACACAATTAAAACAGTATTTGAATTTTAGCATCCTAGCTTTTATATTTTTGAAGATATCATGTGAAATGACCTATTTTTGCACTTATTGATTATCAATCTTATTTAATTACAAATAATGATTCTAATATTAAAATAATATTCTATTTTTAAAATATTTTTATTATTTTAATGTTGCGGTCCACCTTATTCTGATTAAAGTCCTTGTAAAAATGATGAGTTTTTCCGATTTTTATAAAATTTAAGAAAATGCCACTAAGACCAGATAAAGAATTGGCAGCCACATATTTATGCAATATTTTGATCTTTATTATTACGAAAATATTTACAATAATATCATATTTCTTAAAAATATTTTTTAAACCGATTTTTTTTAAAATTTCTATTTTTGAATATTAAAGGATTATAGATTGCTAGCTGATGACACATCAAGAATGACGGGGAATTAGAATTTTTTCCTTCTGGATAAATAATAAATTTTACCTTCATTTGACGATGGATGAATCAGAATAGTCAAATGAGAGGAATAGATAATCCGTATTCATTCTTCCATGATTCCTATAAATTTGTAGAGAAAAGGCCAAATATATTATGGAAAATATGGAATTTAACACATTTTTCACATTCAGACTCAATGGTTTTTGCCCTCTTACTTTGTATAAAATCTATATTCATCTCATATAATCATTTAAATGCTTCTAAAACCTTCCTAAAAATACTCTTTTAAAAAATACCTGCCATCATAAGAATTTGTGAGGGGGGGGGCAAACTTGATTACTCAAAAACACTGTGGTGGTATCCACCCCATTGCAATGGGTTATTTAGAAGATTATTAGCAAAAATAATTGCCATGGGTCAAAACCCAGGGTCTTAACTTATTAAGTATACTTAACAGCATAATGGATTTTACCTCTGCCAAGGAATCCTTTTATAAATGATATGCGTCTGTCACTTTTATTTTCCTATGCAAGAGGTCTGCAAATGACAACATTTTCAGGCCGAATGGGAATTGAGTTAATGCCTATCCCAAAGGACTGAACCACCAAGTTGGATTAAGAAAAAAAAATGTGCGGGAAAAATGAGAATCTTTTATTTTATTTTGGGGTTCACTTTATTTTTTTCTTTTCTTTTACTTGTGATTTTCTTTTTGAAAGAAAGAAAGACAAAATCCTCCTCCTAACATGGCTATTATCAAAGTAGACTTCAAAAATGCTTTCAATAGCAAATTTTGTGAACATTTCATAAATTGTTTTTATCCCAAAATTCCTAGAGACATACTGTAACATTAAAACTCCTTTATTCAGCCCACATGACATAGATCCGGACGAAAGTATCCAGCAGAGAGCACACGTCCTCGTTTATTTTACTTTGGTATTCATTATCTCATCATTATCTTAACCCTGTATTGCATGTACTATGTTAGAATAATTTTTTTTTGTCAAACTAGATTTTTTATTTCTCTCGATACTATTGATAATCTCATGGCTCACTTTTTTTAAAAAAATTCTAAATTTCTTAGAAGATGAACGGTATGTGGATTAAAATACACATTATGCAATTAAGGATACCAATTTCAATTTTTTCACAATAATTTTTATTATACTCTAAACTATAAATATATATATAATTTTATATAAATACAACAAATATTAAATGTTTGAACATTTTAATTTTCATGAAAATCTATAAAACAATTATTTGTGGGCGTAAAACATAAATATACACTACATTTTTTGCAAGATACTTTTGTAATAAATATGCAACCTGGAATTTTACATCTACCCTTTTTATCATTATATTTGGGCCAGTGAGCTGTGAGGTCTTTCCTAACCTCTTCATTTGGTAAAGATTGGGCTGGTCCCCTTTTTTACATTTTTCCCGATAACCAGTTTGAACTGATTTTCGTTTTGGAATATTTTTTGAAGTGCATTTGCCATATTTGCAAAGGACTTCCGCCACCGAAATTTTGAAATTGTACAAACTTAATAGATCCTTGCCTGCTATTGATATACTATTATAATCGTTTGTATAGCAACCAAGAATTTATAAGTAACATGTCGAATACATGAAATAAAATTCGATGGTACCATTTTCTTGATTTGGTATGAATTCTATATAATGAAAGTAAAGAATCCATAAGATCTACACCTCCCATTGATTTATTATAAACTTTAACAATGTTTGGACATTTTATCATTATTTTATCCTTTTTTTTCTATCATATCTTTCGCAATCGATAAGAGGATGTGCACCTACAAAAGGGCTCAATAAGGTCACAGCACGATTGTCGTGCCACTTCACTGAATTTAACTCAACCCCGTTTATTATTGTTTTTTTTGAAACAAAAAATCCTCGCCCTTTTTTTCAACTCCTTATCTGCTGTTGGGAAGTTGATATTTGGTAGTCGATTACCTCTGACCGTGGCCGCGCAAAATATCCCTCTTTGAGCGAGTACGACTTGCAAATTTGGTGAACAAAACCAGTTATCAAAAAATAATTTATAATTAATTTGCTGCGGTATATAAGAAATTAAACGTAGCACAGCATTGCCACTTGCTCCAACAACAGGCAATCCTTCCGCTGGTAGTATTTTCCCAGAGTATACTTCAAAATTATGGAGAAGGCCATCATCTCCGCATAGTAGGAAGACTTTATAGCCCCATTTTTTGGGCTTTTGGGGGTTATATTGCTTTAATCTGCTCATCCCTTTGTATGGAATTATTTGCTCATCTACGAAAATATTTTCCCCTATCGATAAAGATTTTAGTATATTATTGGTTATAGTTATCAAGGGTCTAATTTTATGAAGTGGGTCATGGCCCTCACTTCCAAGTGGAATAAATTTGTCATTATCATTTATATGAATGAATGATTTGATTTGTTCCCAGCGATTTAGGGGTCATGACATCAGCCACCTTGGCCTGTCTTGTATTGGTGGCCCAGTAGAGACGTGCTCTGGGAAGTAAAATAATTGACATGTAAAAAATAATTCCTATAAATTTTTCTAATTCATCTATCGATAAATTCAAAGGTTTGTTGGAATTGCATTGAATTGCATATTTGATTCGTAAACAATTAGAGGTAATAAATCAGTGAGATATGTATTATAATAATCCATTGGTTTTTTTACTTTATCAACCGTTGGGTTTTCTCCTTTCCACTTTGGAATAACTAACGGTAAATTAGTTAAGCAATTTTTCCAAATCATTTTTCTCACGATTCCTTTTTCATTATTTATATTTTCATCCTCTTCCGATTCATCACTCTCATTGAAATCTAGATATTTATAGATTATATAAGAGCATACATTTTAAATATACCTAAATCATTATTTTGGGTTGACAGAAACTCCTCATCAGACGATTCACTTAAATTTGAATCTTCACTATCATTAGGTATGGTACCACCATTCATAAATTCTAAAAATATAAAACTCAAATAAAATACCTTATTTGCATAATGTGTCTTTAAAGCAACGTATGATTATTACAAAATATAATTATCAAAAATAATAAATATATATAAAATAATTTCATAAACATTAATTTTTACCTTTTATTTATCTAATTTTAATGTTTTGAATTTTGTCAAATATATTATTTATCCTTTTACGATGTGTAGAAAATTGAGAAGAAAAATTTTATAAAAAAATAGCCATTTTTAAAAATAGGGTTTATTAAAATGCGAAATTAAAAATTAATAATTGATCACGTGGCCCAAATTAAAATTCCAATCGAAGATATAGAATATGGCTTCAAATACACACCATGCAATTGATTTAAAATTTATTTATAAAATATTTATTATATAATTTGTGGTATGTGGCTTGAGATACACAGTATGCAATACAGGGTTAATTAAATTTGATTTGGATATTAATTATTGGTATCTTGATGATGGAACAATCTGTGATGCTCTTCCTAAAATAATTTGGTTTTTAATTTCTTGGAGTCAATTTGACTCATTCTTAATAAGTCCAAATACAAAATCTGTTTTATGATAACAATTAAAAAACCCTCATCTAGCAAGATTAAATTTTTTATTGAGTACATAAATAATAAAAATTAAAAAAATAGAAATTTATCATCATATTATAAGAATAATGAAAATATTGGAATTAACTCATCAAAATAAGGTAAATTTCTGATTCACACCTCATAGGCTTATTTTTGATTTATTCATCATCAAATTAAGGAGAATACTAATTCCTTGATTTTTGTGGCACATCAGCTAGTAATCATATAAAATGCAAATATTTATTAGATTACGGGAATGAATCCTTCCTTAAGGGTTTTTTTATTTAACAATGAAAGCAACAAAGCACTCCTTGGTAAATTGTTATCCACAGAGTTTTGAATAAGTTTGCATCTTCTCATGATATGGATCCATTCTTCAAGATGATCTTTATTATAAGAAAATATATTTTGATACAGGTACAGGGGTTAGGCCATATTTTAATTTTTTAAATACACCCGGGCTGGGCCTAAAATTTTAAAGATATCTAGATCGGGTTGTATATTTTAAATAGCCATTATTATCTATAAAATTTGAAAATAAATATAATATTATTACCTTCAATATAAATATATAATCGGAACATATGAATTTTCATTATATTAATTTCATAAAATCTGTAAAAATTATATTTATATGCTCAATAAAAATTATTCCTAAAATTTTTATACATTCATTTGCAATTTGAACCCTAAAAAATTTATTCTTGCTAGATGAAGGTTTTTTCTAACTTAAACCAGCCAATTCTGTGGTGAGTGGGAGGGTTAAAAAATATTTTTAAAACAATGGGTAGGTGAATTTGAAATTTATTTCAGTTAAGATGAGCAACTGAATTCTATTTA